AATTTTATATTTTATTTATTTATTTATTATTTTTCGTTTTCTATTTGTAGGAAAAATTATCTAAAACCAAAGCTTGCTCTTCCTTCCTCGTTCCTATACACACTTTTTTTTATAAGTGGCCTAAAACGCAACAAACCAAACAACCTACTAAAGGCAAATGTCACGATTTGAAACTTCAAACCACAAAGTAACAAAATAGGCCACTGAACACAATAACCTAGCCTCCTAGAAAGTAAAAACATGAAACTAAAACCAAAGCTACTCCTCTAATCGGCCGAGAATCGTGTCTTCCCCCAGCAGGGCCTTCGGGCCATCACGACGGCGGCGTCCTCCGAGCCGTGCAGTTGCATTTCGGAGACTCGTCGGGAGTGGAGGCGGCATTTTCCTCGGGCGAGATGGGGTCTCCCCTTTGGGTTTCGCCGTCTTACAGGTTGCCAAGGTGGGCCGGGGTCCGACATTTCCTCGGAGTCTAGGCTGTGGCGGGCTGCCGGCGAGGCTGCGATTGAAGACTGCGGCTCCTTTATCCCCTCGGAGGTATGCGAGGTGGTAGTCGGGGCTGAGATAAGGGCTGTTTCACTTTCCTCCCTTTTCTCATTTAACTCTGCTCTTAGGGCCTCTGGGTTGTGTTTGTGGAGTCGGCTCGGGTCGGGGAGGGGCCATGTGTCCTGAACCTGGGTTGTCGAGTCTTGGGAGGTGGAGTATGTTTTGAATCTCCGGTTGCGGGTCTTGGCCTTGGTGTCGGCGTCGTTGGTGTTCGGTTTGGCTACACTGCTGCGAGAAGGGCTTTAGTCTTAGTTTTAGTTATTTTGTGTATTTTTGTTGTGTTTGTTTGTGATGTTGCCTGTTAGTGTGCATTTGTGTTTTCTCCGTTTGGGGAGTGTCGATTCTCTCGCTGGGAGTTTGTATTCTCCCGTTGGGGAGTGGGTATTCTCTCGTTGGAGAGTTATTTGTTTTTTCTGGTTGTGTTGTGTTGTGGCATTTAGGCTACCTTTGGTAGGCCTCTCATTTCCGGCTTCTGAGCCGGTTGTAAGTACGTGTTTTAGTAATGAATTCTATCGTTTCGAAAAAAAAAAGCAAAGCTTATGGAATTAAGCCCACTCCCTTAGTGTTGAGTGTACTATGACCCTCTCCGGCATCCACACACAATGAAATACCCATAAGTTAGTTGATTTTAGAGCCACCAAAATATATACGTCGATAACTGAATGCAGGCTTAAAAAAACGAATATTTATCCATCTCAGTTGTCCACCACCACCTCCTGAAGTCTTTTGTAGCCTCCTCAAAACATCTCAAGCAACGAGGACTAACTTCCAGACAGTTTAAGCACTTGAGCATTCAAAGAAAAGATGCTCCACACTTTCAACATGCTCTCCACAACACTGATACACCCAACCAACCTCCATTCGTCTCCTCTTGATGTTCATGCTCACAGAAAGAGTGTCAGTAAAGAACTTCCAAACAAAGTATTTCAGCTTGCTTTTCTTTCAGTTCCCAACATCTCATCCTAGCCTTTCTATCGCTCTGAATAGAAACAATACTCCCAAGGGTGTCTAGAAAAAGCACCTTCTTAAGAATTGCAGCAGAATAAGAAGAAGCCACTGAAAACTTACTTTTGGGGTCTTCAGTTCACACCCATCTGTCCTTGGCCTCTAGATCAATGCACTTAATTTTAGAATAGCTTCACAAGAATCAAGAGTGAAAATCGATTGTAGTAGGTCTCTATTTTATCCTCTACATGTGTCATTCAATAGTTCGCTCACCCAAGTCAGACTAAACTCCATAACCTGCATTTATAGAAGGAACACCAGGCCAGGTACCCAATGATCACTCAGAATTTTAGTACTCTTAACATCCCTAGCATCCTTTTTGAAACTCTGCTTGTAAAAAGAAAGGACTCTAACCCAACAATTCCATACTTTTCTTTGCATTAAGAAGACAATCAGAAGTAAAATATTTTTCCAAGGATTCTTGTCATTGTTACAGCTTGGCCCTCGCCGCTACTACGAAGCCAGAACCTCAAAATGTCAGGAGTATAGACAAGCCATCAGCTCAGGATGGGTTGGTGTGGTTCCTCTACGCCATAGTATTCTACTATGAAACGATTTTTTTGAAAAAGTCCGAAGCAAGTTGGCGAGCAATGACACGAAATGCACGCCGTGGTGGCAAAATATGGGTCCGTATATTTCCAGATAAACCAGTTACAATAAGATCGGCTGAAACACATATGGGTTCGGGGTAGTGG